CGCCTTTGCTGAGATCAACATTGATGTCGGGGGCGCGGGGGTGATTCAGAATCTCCCTCGAATGTGTGAGGGTTCGAATATATTGCCCATCTACTGTAGCCCCATGGTGGCCGAGGGTGATCGGTGTGAGGGCGTCGTCCTCCTACCCCAGACATCCAGCGTCCGCGCCCGCAGGTAGGAGACGATAGAGAACATCAACTCTGACTTCCGGACGTCCGCGCGGGTGGGGGCCCAGCCCCGGCCCAAGAAACCTAACCCTTCTCGGACTTATGTTTATATAGCCAGTATTATTCGAGTCGCAGTCCTGCTCCACACGTCCAGCGCTCTCGTCCCGCGCCCCTCCTCCAGGCTCCTCCTCCCCCCCGCGCGCGCGGATCGCGGCGAAGAGGAGCCTCCTCGGGCGCGCTCTCGAAGAGGCGGAGAAGCACGCGGCTGGGCCGGGCAACAAGCGTGCAAAAGACACTGCCGTCGCCGTCGCTATGGCCGCCGCAGCTGCCAGCAAGGTCGCCGCCACCGTCCCCGCTGCCGCAGTCACCGCCGCCATCGCCACCGCCGCCGCCGCCACGGCCGCCGTGGCCGTGGCCGTGGCCGTGGCCGTGGCCGTGGCTGGGGCCGTGGCTGGGGCCAGGGCCGGTGTCGTCGTCGCCGTCGTCGTCGTCGTCGTCGTCGTCGTCCTCGTCGTGGTCGCCGGGAGGCGTCCACAACAAGGAAGCGCTCCTCGTTCTCCCCGTCCTGTCCTCCTCTTCGAAGGCGAAAGGATGGGGAGGGAGGAGATGAGGACAGGGGTAGGAGGCATGGGGAGGGTGAGAGGATATGAAGAGGATAAGGACGAGGGGGAGGAGGGTTAAGGAGGGAGAAAGGAGGAGGTGGCGGCGCAAGGAAGGGACGTTGGCGGCGCAAGGACCCCCCCCCGCTGGCAAGAAACCTGCTTAGACAGCAATTGGTCCTTCTAGGAAAGTCCGCTCATTTTAAAGAGTGTTCCGCGACGGGACAGCTGAGCTAAATTAAGGTGGACATCTACGGTAGGATCATACTTACAAAAACCCTGAACGAATAACAATTACGCTTCATAATAACGGTTCATATTCACTACTTGCACTCACCGTGCATCCTTAACGTTAACATTGGTGACTCATACGAATGGGTAGCAATTACAAATAATGTGTGTTTTCGATGGCCGATCTTGAAACTTGCCACTGCTCGTTGCTACTGATACGTGGTAATACTGATACGGCTAACTGCTACTACGGCTGAAAGATGCTCCGAACATGTACGCTTATCTTGTACGGCTCAACGTGACTGCTCAATTCCATGCTTAATGCTGACATTTAGTATGTACGGGTAGTTTGCAGGTCCCGTTTTGATATACATGCATCCTTCCAATAGACGTTTACGCTTCGTATTCGTTACGGTTGATTTTATCGGGCTTGCGTTGGCAATTGCATCAATATGTGGAGCCCGGCACCCGCAAACGGCAGAACGGCCCGTAACGTCAGACAATTTGCTGACATGGTTGGCCGCCTCAAAACTGCATGCTGTAAGGCGGGCCGCACACACAGACGTCACAGAACAACTCTGCTGACATGATTGGCTGCCCCAAACATGCATGCTTCAATGCCGGCCGCACAAAGACGGCAAAACAACATCGATTACCATCGAGCAGGCGCCCGAGGGGCGCAGCAAACATGACAGGTTCTTCGTTTGCAGCTGCATTATTTTGAAAAGCTCGGCACCCTGGCGCGAACTGCGGGACGACCCGCAACGCAAAAGACACTTTGCCGACATGGTTGGCCGTCTCGAAAGTGCATGCTTTCAGGCAAGCCGCTCAAAAATGCCAAATAAGTTTAAATGTCGCGGGGCAATTTGATATGCTTTCTATTGCGAATACTTACGCATACTGCGCACTGTTTATTCATGCGTGGTCACGGTCTACTTTTATTTATACTGTTGGTTGAATTGCATTTCCCCGGTCAATATTTACGGGTCTGCGTTTGCAAATGCGTTGCTGTATAGAGCCCGGCAACCTGGCGCAAACGGCCGAACGACCCGTAACGCCAGACACAGTGCTCACATGGCTAGCTGGCCCAAAACTGCACGCTTGAAGGCAGGACGCGGCACTCAGCCCTTTGCCAGGAGAGCCCAGAATCGAATCGATAAATCGGATCGGCGATCGAAATGACTCAAATCGGCGGAAATCGGCAGTCAAGTCGGGAGAAGTCGAATCGACGGAAGTCTGAAAGTTGGTAGGCCTCCATTCTGAATCGGAATCCAAATCGGAATTCGAAGCCGAATCGAATCGGAATTCGAAGCCATCGAAATCGAGTCGAATCGAATCGGAGGAATCGAAACGAGCCCCGCCGAGCTGCTCGAGAGTCGCGACCTCGAAGCCAAGCTGCGTTCTGGGCGCAGCCCTCCGGAGTCCCACGGCGCCGCGTGCCTCGCCGAGCTGCCCTCCGCGCTCGAGCTGCCGCTGCCGGCGCCCGGAGATCGTGCCTGCCCCCAGGGGCCTCCGCATGCTGCGAGGGCGCCCCCCATCGTGTGCGAGTGGGCGCCGAGTGCATCACCCAAGCCCAGCTCAGCCGTCACTGTGGGGACGAAGAATGGCATGAGCATGAACACTCGGAGGTCCGCGCGGACTTCTCGGATCGGCGCCAGATCCCCCTCCCTGGTGGCGCGGAGCCCGCCAGGGGCGGCGCCGGAGGCGCCGCCAGAGGGGTCCAGCGCGGATCCGAGAAATCCGCGTGGACCTCCGAGTTTTCATGCTCATGTCATCGCTTGTTCGCCTGGACTCAGCTGTCACACCCGCGCGGAAGAGAGCCGTGCGGCGCTGCAGCGCGGAGGGCGAGTTGAGAAAGCGGCAGGTCAAACGCGGTCCACGGAAACCCTCCCGGGGTCCAAAGGCACCAGCTGTCCGAGCCGTGTCCAGCCGTGGCGGCGAGGGGACCCCTCGGAGGCCAACTACCTTTTCCTGACATCCGACGCTGCGAACAAATGGTGTAACACCGCCACAAAGCCACGACCAGATCCCTATAGTTAGGCCCAATCTTTTTGCGCCACTCCTCGAGCCGCATCGATCCGTGATTGTCCCAGGGCCCGAGCCCGGGCGAGACCGCCCGCAGCGAAAAAACTGCAGCGCCTGGATCGGAGGGTTGTCTTGAGTCGCTCTCCTTTGAGCACAATCAGAAAATGATTAAGACAACTATCAACTGAGAAAGCTGGGCTAGCTTTCCAAAAGTTTCTTAAGGAAACGCTGGGCCAGCTTCTGGAGCCAGGAACGTACACTGTTCATATCTAGGATTCAAGGCTATCGCTCCCCTTGAGAAACTGAGACAGCTTTCCGGCAAGTTGGTTAAGAAACGCTGGGCCAGCTTTTCTGGGGGAGGCTTCTTGATCACAAGCGGAACCGTGCTGATGTTCGCGCCATCGAAACGAATCGGATCGGCGGAAGCCGGCAGCCAAGCCGGGCGAAACGGAATCGGCGGACATCGGCATGCTGGCAAAGGTTCTCTGCGAAACCGGTATCCCAGCCGGAATCCGAAGTCGGGTCTAATCGGAACCAGAAGAAGAGCCGAAAGGCGCAGGCTCGCCCTGCCAGCCCGCGCGGCGCTCGCCGCGCGCCTGCGAGGTCGCCCAGGCAACCACATCGACAAGTCTGAACTGAACCTTCCCATCTCTCGGGAGGCTCGGCAGGGTACTCCAGATTTCGTAATAAAGGGAGGGGGGTCTCATTTCGGGGGGGGTCTTTTCCAAGCTATCTTGGAGGGCCTGGGGGGGTCTGTGAACGATGTTTTGGAGGGTTCTCCCACGGGGGGGGGTCTGAAATGGCTTGTCTTGGAGGGTCCAGACCCCCTCCCTTTTATTACGAAATCTGGAATAGGCTCTGGAGGTCTGTTTAGTTCGGCCAGAATCGGTCGAAATCGAAGCGAGCCGAGTCGGAGGAGTCGAACTGCGCCCTGCACTCGCGGCAGACCTGTGGCGGCATGCGGCAGCTGCCGCTGCGGCAGCGCTGGCGCGCCTGCCGGCGCCCGCGGGCCTCCCGAAGCGCGTTCCCCTTGACCCCACACAAGCCACGAAGTACAGGGCAGGTTTTAATTTATGGATTAAAAAAATGGGATTGTTAATATGATTTCTAATCCATGGTGAATCTACGAATCGATTCATGCACGAACTCATACTTGTTTTTAGTACTAAATCCCTGCATTTTTCAATTCATGATAAGCGCGAGGAGCATGTATTAAAAACGGCACTGTAGGAGGAAGCGCAGAGAGAAGCTGAGGGGGGAAGAGGAGAGCCGATAGCGGCCGGTCCCGGGCCTGGCCGCCCCCCCCCCCCAGGTATAGCGTCACGAGTCGTGCTGACCTCCGCATTGTCTTAGGCTGTGCCTAAGACCTTCCCAGACAGCGCCGGCGCGACACGTGACGTTACTGGCACCCCCCCCCTCCCCCATCCCGCCCCCGGTAACGCCAGTTATCGCCCGGGGATGAAAAAACATTCTCGCGGAGGAGAGGGAGGAGGAGACACACGTGAGCGACGATCAGCAAGATGGTACGGCGGCCTTACGCCGCAGCTTACGCGGGCCGCCAGCGCGGCACGCTACATTGGAGACGAAGCCGCGCAATCGAACCACTTTTGTTTGCGTCGCTCACGTGGAAGGCGAACTCCGCCATGCGATCCCTGACAATTTTGGGCATGAAGCAAGCGGGTCCTGAGGGAAGTGGGTCCTGGATCCTGGGACATTTCCCTTCGGACAACGTTTTCATCCTGCGTTGCTTTTTGGCATACCCGGGTCCCCGAGCGGCCTCCAGAGGCAGAATACAACTCCAAGACCCGTTTCCCCCTCGGGAACCCTTTGGCCTCCATGCCGAAGGTTGGGACACTCGCCATCGTACGAAGCGGCGAACAGCAATGCACGGCGGCAGACCTGTTTCGGTACGATCGTCCTTCAGCCACGGTAGTCCTTCTGCCGGCAGGGGAAGCCATGAGAGACCTCCCAAATGAGGTCAGATTGGATGGAGTCGGAGGACCGCGCCGCATCGTCGATGCGTCACCGATGCTTGGCGGCGCGCTGAAGGGGGTAGGGGGAGGGGGGGAGGCTTCTTAGAAGGAGGCTACTCCTTAGCAGGCGCTGGCCATACACATCTATACAGAAAAGACCCGCGCCTTCTGAGAAGCAGGGGTGCCTCTAAGAGGCCTTCGCCCTTCCCCCCCAGCCCCCATTCTGCGCGTGGGCCGAGATGCAACGACAACGCATCGGCGTGGACATCGTCGGTGCCAGGGGAAGGAACAATGACATAAGCATAATAACTCAGAGTTTCGCGCGGACTTCTCGGATCCGCGCTGGGGCCCCCTGGTGGCGCCTCCGGCGCCGCCCCTGGCGCGCTCCGCGCCTCAGCGAGGGGTGTCCAGCGGCGATCCGAGAAATTCGCGCGGACCTCAGAGTCTTTACCCTTATGTCATCGTTCGTTCCTCCAGAGATTGACAAGCGCGTTCCACTACTGGCAAAGTAACCACTCGCAAATGGCTTGGATCCGCCGCGGGGGACTTACGATATATTACACAAAGTCTGACGTATGGTTTTTCGGACGTTTGCGAGTAGGCACTTTGCGAGCAGTGGAACGCGCTCGGCGAAGAGATGCATCGGCAACGCATCGGCGTGGACATCGCCGATGCATCGGCGATGCGGCGCGATCCTCCGCGCTGCTCTGCCCCGGCATCCTCTGGGAGGCCTGGCATCACGATGGCAGTGATGGGCCTGATTTCCACCACCACCACCACTATAAGTTGGAGGGGGAGGGGGTCCTCCACCTCCTCCTCCCCCTCCTCCTCCACCTCCTCCTCGTCTTCCTCCTCGTCCTCCTCCTCCTCCTCCTCGTCCTCCACCTCCTTCCCCCCTCCAACTTCTGGTGGCGGTGGTGGAAAACAGACCCATCAGGGAGGACAGCGCCGGCGCTCGGCACGGCGGGCCGCGCGCCCGCGCGCTCGCGCACTCGTGCACTGAGGCCTTGCGGCGCCTCTGCCGGAGGAGGTGCCTGGGCGCCGCGCCCGGCACGGGGCGAGCAGGAGCCCGAGGACGAGGCGAAGATCGGCGGCCTGCCCAGAGGGGAGAAGTGAGGGGCCACCTGCGAGCCCTGCCCCTACCCCCACGATTTCTGAGGGGGGGGGCGGGATGCACTTCGTTCGGCAGCTCCCGAGCGAAGTGAACGCAACCCTCCCCCTCAGAAATCGTGGGGGGTAGGGGTAGGGCTCGCAGGAGGCCCCCCAGAGAGGGGGCCAGGCTTCTCAGAAGGCTCGGAAGTCCCCTGGCCTTCTGAGAGGTCGCCTGAGCCTTGCACACACACATACACACATACACATACACACATACACACACACACCACACACACCACACGCACACACAGACACACACAGACACACAGACACACAGACACACAGACACACAGACACACAGACACACAGACACACAGACACACCGACACACAGACACACAGACACACAGACACACAGACACACAGACACACACACAGACACACGCACACAGACACACACACACACAGACACACACACAGACACACACAGACAACACACACACAGACACACACACAGACACACACACAGACACAGACACAGACACACTGGCACAGAGACACTGGCACAGACACACACACAGACACACACAGACACACACAGACACACAGACACTGACACAGACACAGACACAGCCACAGACACACACACAGACACACACAGACACACACAGACACACAGACACACACAGACACACATAGACACACAGACACACAGACACACAGACACACAGACGCACAGACACACACACACACGCACACACACACACACGCAAAAACCTCTCGGAAGGCTGGATGTGCTTCGGAGGAGTCCGGCCGCCTTCTGAGAAGGCCTGCTCCTCCTCGCCTCCCCCCCTCCCTCGCCGCCGAGAAGAAAGGACGCGCCTCAGGACTTTCAGCGGCGACGAGAGGGGCGAATTGCCCAGGAGCGGGCATTACACGTAGTCGCCCGGGAGCCTTTTCGAAGACATAGATCATCGGCGCACCTGAATACATGTATTGCTCCCCCCTGGGCTGTTCGCCCCTATCGTCGCCCCTGGTTTGGACGCCCGAAATGGGTACGGAAAGAATGGGCACTATGCCCAACAACAAATGTTGTCCCAAGCCAACAGCGGCCGCTGTTGGGCAGGCGGCCTTCTGTCCCGAATGGACACAGGCCGCGGCGGCGTGGACAGTTCAAAATGAACAGGAATTGTTGTTGGGCATTGTACCCATACCCATTCTTTCAGTACCCATTTCGGGCGTCCAGACCTGAGCCCCAGGACCTGCGCGCGGTGCTGCAGCGGCCTGGCGCCGAGAGGCCCACGCAGGCCGTCTCCTCGGCACACCGCGTGGACAGACGGGGCGCCCGCGGCGGCCTCCTTGCGCGGTGAGCTGCAACGGCCGAGGGCCTTTTGGCCACGAGAGCGCGAATCGAGGATCGCAGGGCCCCTCGTCGAAGGCCCCGGGCCCCAAGGATGTGCTCCAGGCGGGGACCCCTCGGGGGCAAAAAGCCCCCCAGTGCGAAGAGCACGCGGGTCCCCCCCCCGCCCGAAGTTATGTGGTTGGTCTTGACCCTCGCGCCAGCTGTTTACTGTACGTGCGAGGTGCAGAGGGCTGCACGAGCAGAAGCTTCCGGAGCTCCGCGCGGACTTCTTGTGATGGGCCTGTTTTCCACCACCGCCACCACCAGAAGTTGGAGGGGGGGAGGAGGTGGAGGATGAGGAGGAGAAAGAAGAGGAGGAGGAGGAGGAGGACCCCCTTCCCCCTCCTACTTGTGGTGGTGGTGGAATGCAAGCCCACCATCTTGGATTGGCACGCGGGGGGGGGGGGGCCCAGGGGAGGGAGGGGAGGCGCCGAGCACGCCGCCTTTGAGCGCCGCTACAGCAGGGGGGGGGGGGGCGGGAGGGAGGGCGACCCAGCGCAGCTCCGAGAACTCCGCGCGGAGCTTCGAAAAGTTCTGCGCGTGCAGTGCTTTTTCTTCTTCGCACCTCGGGGCAGAGCGAGCCGAGGCAACGTCCACTCGACGTCGGGCTCCGGGGCCCCTCTCGGGCCGCAGAGCGCGCGCCTGCCGGGCTGCGTCCCAACTGAGGCGACGAAGGCCTCTCCGGAGGCCAGCTGCCGTTGTTTCAACTCGCCCTTCACTCGGCTACACGCAAGAGTGACCCTGGGTAAGAGCGACCTTTGGTGCGCGGCTTCTGGGGGCCGCGGGGTGACCACGCACAGGCGCGCAAGGCGCTGCTATCGCATCGCGTTCGGCGATCGGTGGACCCCAATGTGACAGCAACCAGAGGCCACCTCCAGCGAAGGGTCACTCTTACGTCTAGTCGTCCTCTGAGTTGCCCCAGAGGCGCGCGCTGGGCGCAAATCGGGTCCTCCGCCACCCCCCGACGGACAGGGCACTGGACAGCCCTCCTGGCCTTCGAGGGCGTCGGGAGCGACGAGAGGCTCGACGGCGAGGTCATGAGGACATCTTTCCTCCTCGAACTGAGGAGGAGGAGGAGGAGGAGGAGGCGGGGAATGATGATGATGATGCTGATGCTGATGATGATGCTGATGATGATGATGATGATGATGATGATGATGATGATCATGATCATGATGATGATGATGATGATGATGATGATGATGATGATGATGATGATGATGATGATGATGATGATGATGCTGCTGATGATGATGATGATGGTGATGATGATGATGATGATGATGATGGCGCTGCTGCTGCTGCTGCTGCGTATGATGATGATGATGATGATGATGATGATGATGATGATGATGATGATGATGATGATGATGATGATGGTGATGATGGTGATGATGGCGATGCTGCTGCCGCTGCTGATGATGATGATTATGATGATGGTGGTGATGATTGCGAGGAGGAGGAGCAGGAGCAGGAGGAGGAGGAGGAGGAGGAGTTACCGTCCACTGAAGAGTCCCAGTGCCGACCTACTCAGACCGAACGCACCGAAGCGCGAGAGAGCGGAAACGAGCAGCAGCTGGGGCTGTAACGCGAGCGTGATGGGGGAATGCCGATCTCACCTGGCGTGATATATAGGAAGGGGACGGGGAGGACGACGAGGATGAGGCGGAAGAAGAAAGGAACGAAGGGCATACGTCGGGCCTGGCGCCCCGGCCTGGCCAAGGCGCCACGCCGAAGCCCCGCTCTCACATCGTGCTGTTCAGCGGGTTGTTGCTGGGGTCGTCCCAGCCGCGCCCGCCGCCCTTCTCCAGGGAGTGGCCGAGCAGCTCCTGCAAGCAGTGCGCAGGGACTCTTGGCACAACAAGAAACACGTGCGTCAACATGAACTTTGCAAGTTTCACTCGGATGTTGTTTTGAATGTGTGCTAGGCCCCTTCTGGCTGCGTTTCTGGCGCAGCCCCTGGCACGCTCCGCGGGCCAATGAGTTTTGGGGGCCCCGGAAAAAAGGGGCGCCCGTCTCCGGAAAATGCTAGCCGGCGCGCGTCCCAAACAATCTGTTCTAGTGTACTATGTGGTGCAACTACTGTCTGTCCACAATGAGTTGTCCACTCCACTGCTCGCGCAATCATCCCACCCACCCACCCGCGACTTGCATTGCAAAACACATCCGGCGGCGATTGCGATGAGCTCTTGGAGTTGGTTGGTGCAGCTCTGCGGCCGCGCTGGCGCGCGCAACCTCGCGCGCAAAGTGGCCAAAGTAGCACTGACCGCTGGGGATTTCCCATTGTGTCTCTCAGGCCGCGTCGGCGCGGGGGCACTTCAGTGCGCGTCGGTGACTCGGGCGGGCGCGAGCTAATAGCGACGCCGATAACGGCAGGCACGATGATGATTGTAGCGGTGCTGGTTACGACGATGACGATGACGACGGCAAGGCCAATGATGGCGCCGATGCTGATCACGCCGATGACGATGATTGTACCCACGTGTCGGTGATGCAGGTTGAGCGAGGATTTCGACATGCGCGCACATGCGCGCGAAGCCGACGGGCGCGAGTAGCCCGCAGCCCGCATGGTATTATTTGACAGGGACCCTGCTCACCCTCACCCCCAACACGCGCGCAATGGCGTTCGAATGACTTAGACACGCGCGCGCGAGAGGCCCATATGGTAGCATGTTATGAAAATTGTAAAATCAAATGGTTTTTCCCTACCTAGGCTCTGCCTAGAGGGTTCTTACCCTATACCTTGAAGGGGCCGGGCAGTGCAAGACGCCCCGGGCGGTTCCCCCGGCATCCGCCCCGCGGTTCCCCCAGTTACGTCTCCTTAGCTTAGCGTTGCTTATCTCATCTTAGCTTATCTTACTTCATCTTAGCTTAGCTTAGCTTCATCTTAGCTCAGGTGTATCTTAGCTTAGCTTATCTTCATCTTAGCTTCGCTGAGCTTTAACATAGTAGAGCACAGCATAGCATAGCATAGCGTAGCACAGCATAGCGCAGCACAGCATATCATAGCATAGCGCAGCATAGCATAGCATAGCACAGTATAGCGAAGCACAGCACAGCATAGCATAGCACAGCGCAGCAGAGCACAGCAAAGCATATCAGAGCATAGCATAGCAGAGCGTGGGTCTTAGCTTCTCATAGCGCAGCGCTGCATTAGCATAGCATAACATAGCATAACATAGCCAATCATATCATAGCGTAGCATAGCATAGCGCAGCATTGCATAGCATAGCACAGCACAGCACAACACAGCATAGCATAGCGCAGCTTAGCATAGCATATCATATCATAACAATGCTTAACATAGCACAGCGCATCATGACATATCATATCATATCATAGCATAGCATAACATAGCATAGCGAATCATAACATGGCATAGCATAGCATAGCATAACAACTAATGCTGCTTTCTTGGGGGCTCCAACTTCTAGGTAGGGTCGCACTGGGGTAATATTTGAAATTCGTAGGAAAGCCAAGGCCTTCCTTGAAACATCTTGTATCACTACCACGTTTTCTACGTTGAATGGAACATCGATCTGGAAATCCTTACGGCAGCTGGAAGGTCTTTGAAGAATTCAGCACGCGCGCGCGCGACGACGCGCGCGAGCGCATTTCGCCCCATGTTTTGCAAGGGGTTCTTGCTCAGCGATGCTTCGTTATCAATGAGTTTGCGCGCATCTTTTCGTTTGACGCAGATGGGGGGGGTCGACGTCGGCCTGGTTGGGGCGGTATGACTTCGCACTTCGAGGGAACGGCGGGGCAGAATCGCATTGAAAATCGGGCACATCTTGGGGGTTATTAGTCGCCCCAAAGAGAGCGAGGGCATAACCAAAATCTGTCGTGCGCAGCGAAATCGATGTGGGGCAAGCAGCGCGGCGCAATCTATGTGGCGGGAGAAATGTTGAAGAACTCCGGGCCGTCAACTCCGCTGCTCGCGCAATCAGCACACCCTTCAACCCGCAACTTGGCTTGCAAGACCACTGCGGCGGCGATTGCGATGACTGCTTGGCGCTGGCTGGCGCCTCCCTCCGGCCGCGCTGGCGCGTGTAAAACAGGGCTAAGTTCGGGACAAATCGCTCCAGAGCGTTCCGGAGCGCTCTCAGAGCGTTCCGGAACGCTCTGGAGCGGCCGCGGCGCCCAATACACTCTCCAAACCCGCCGATCCTCAGAGATTTCGAGTTATCCCGATCCGATTTTGTCCCGATCTTCGCGTCGTTTTAGCGTGCATGCTCGCGCGCCGAGCGGCCGGCCAGTCTGGCGCAGCCGACGCGGCCGTGGCCATGGGGAGCGGAGATCCCCCGGCGCGGCTCCCAGGCCGCGCCGGCGCGCGAGCGCGTCGGCGCGGGCCGTTGACTGGGGCGGGCGCGGAATCAGATCGACGTCGACAACGGCGGAAAGGATGATGAAAGCAGCGACGATGGCGACGAAGATGACGACGAGGCGAATGGCGGCGCCGACGTCGGTCGCGCCGAGGACGACGATGATGTCCACGCGTCGCCGATGAAGGCTCTGGCGGGGGGGGGGAGCTCTACGCGCGCGCGAGCGGCCCGCGCGGCGTCAACTGACGGCGGTCGCGCCCCCCCACCCCCACGGTAGGCGCGCAAGGGCGTTCGAATCGATTTGACATGCGCGCGCGAGAAGCCCGCGTGGTCTCATTGAACGAAAATGTAGAACAAACGTGCTTTCGAAGAACTCGCAAGAGAGCTCGGCCGCGTACTTTGGAACGTGGGGAATGAGATCTGCCGCTATAGGTTTTCGCTAAGCTCGATCTTGAACACCCTTCCGAGACCAATGGTCTTGAATGATTTCGACTTGCGCGCGCGACGACGCGCGCGTGGGACCTGCCCATTTTCGGCGCCACGGATTCGTGGACACGCGTGGTTTGTGACAAACGAATGCACACGCGTATTCTTATATGACTGGGAGGAGGGAAGATCGATGAGTGCATCCCCCAGGATGGCATGACTTCATCTGCAAAAAACGATGCAGGGCGCAGCCGAGAGCGTCGATAATTTCTCCGTCGGAAGGCGGCGGGGCCTACTCTCCTTGTAGCGCTCTATGTCGCGCCACCTACGTGGCGCAAGCACGCGCAGCCTATGCGGCGCGGCATCGCGATGACGTCGGCAACTGCGGCAACCAAGGCGGTTGCAGCGATGGTGGCGAGGACGATGACGACGGCGGCGGCAAGGCCGATGACGGCGCGGACACTGGGCGCTGGCAACGCCGACGACGGTGATGATGCCCATGCGTCGCTGCGAAAGGCGCTGGGCGACTGTCGACGCGCGCGCGGCCGACGCGCGCGAGAGAACCGAACGATGTCATTTGCTACTTGACGGGCGTCGCTCCCCCCCCCTCCCAAGGCAAGCGCGCAGGGGCCCCCGGACGACGTCGACGCGTGCGCGAGCGAGAGACCGAGCGGGAACAAACAATGGCGCGCATAAGAAATAGCAAGGCATGAGCAATTGTTGCACGCTCGCGGACATCAATGCCCTGGCCATCGGTTTTCGAAATCCTCGGTCTTGACATCGTTGCGGCAACGAGCGTTTCGATGGGGTTCGGGCGCGCGCGCGACGACGACGCGAGCGCGTGGGCCTGTTTCCTAGTTCTGGGAAAGGGGCGCTTGGAACATGTTTGCCCGCGTTTATCGAGAGCGCGCGCGCAGTGATATCTGGCAAACATGGCGGGGGGGGCGATGGATGTCTGCCTGGGGCAGTGTGAGTGCATGTGAAAGACGGACAACGAGGTGAAATAATCTGTGAATTTTCACTTCCCACGGGGATGCGACAGACCCCGGGAGTGGCGGGGCGCGGGGGTGGTATACTATTTCCCTACTAGAGAAAATAATGACCCCGCGCCGCGCGTGACCGCCTAGCTCGGCCGCGCAGGCGCCCCGCCCGCTCACTCACAACATGGCCAGCAGAACCTTCAGACAGCGATGACAATGACAACGGCGATGTCGAACCATGCGACGGCGACTGCGATGACTGCTGGGAAATGGCCAGCGCCTCCCTGCAACTGCGCAGGCGCGCGCAAGCTCGCGCGCAGAGAGGCCAACTGGTTCGGCGCAGCCGGTGCGCCTGCGACGACGCTCGCGCGCGGCAGCGCCCCAGCGCGCGTCAGAGACCACGCTGGCGCTCGGGCGCATCGACGCGGGCCAGAAGTTCGGGCAGGCGACGCACCGTGATGTCGACGACAGCGGCAACGATGCTGACTGTTGCGATGGCGGTGGCGACGATGACGATGACGACGGCGAGGCCAATGATTTCTGCGGATGCTGGCAGGACCGGCGACGATGACGATGTCCATGTGTCACCGACGAAGGTTCTGGAAGGATGTTGACAAACGCGCGTGCTGACGCGCGCGCGGTGGCCCGCGTTGCGTCGCTCAATTGGGATCGCGCCCCCCCGCCCCCTGCCCCCCGCCCGCCCGCCCCCCGCCGCGCAATGGCGTTCGGGTGATTCCCCCATGCGCGCGCGAAGGGCCCGCGTGGTTTCACTGAGAACATGAAGAAAAAACGCGTGGTTTCCGGAATAATCAAATCGGGCGCGCGTCGTCATCATCGTCAACATCCTCGTCAGTGGTTTCCTCCTCCGTCTCGTGCTGCTCATGCTCGCCGCGCTCTACCCGCCGCTACCCCTCCTGCTTGTCAGCCGTCCTTCTCCTGCAAAGGCGATCCTGTTCGCCGCGCCCCCCCCCTGCAACCTCCCCATCCTCGTCTCCCCCTCCTCGCCCCTCCCGCCCCCCTCCTCGCCCTCCTCGTCCCCCCATCGCACCTCCTCCTCCTCCTCCTCCTCGCCCCTCCTGCCCCCTGGCGTCCTCCGCCACC